AAAAACTGGCCCATAGAAGTGAAATATCTGGTAACATAAGAATGTCAAAAGGGAGAATTTAAATAAAGACAGAGGAGTGCAAGTATCTGAAGAGACAAGACGTATTTAAAATAGATAATAAACTTTACAGTTACTATGCCCGACCGCTCCGCATACCTTTGTGAATCCATTGCCATAACGCGCTCTTACTCCACTGCTATAATTGCAAATGCGTGAGAATTCATAATTTTCCTCAAAATATGTAAAATCAACCAATTTTACTATAAAAAGCACATGATGAGTGGTTTTTAATTCCCTTCCAATTTGTTTTCCTTTATAAAGTTGACTTCGAAAAACAACTGATAGCTGGCAATGCTGAACATTATTCCGCAAGGGTTGCAGAATGTAAGTTCTTCGTTTTTCGTACGAATTACGAAAATTTTAGTTTTAGAATGGGGGTGTATATGTATATATTACTTTAGAAAAACCAACGTGTAACTTTTTATCTTGTGTTCTCTTTTACAAAACTTAGGGGACTCTTAAACTCGTAAAGTCTTAAACTGTGTAAAATTCGTAAGTTTACGAGGCTTTTATGAGAATGCCCCCTTTGTGAAAAGGTGTAAATAGGTGCGTTTTTCACTTCACTTTGGAAGCTTTCACTTCGTCTCTTCATTTCCACAAATTAGATTTAACACCAAAATAAATAGAAATTTCTTTTAAATAAATGATTTTTTTAACCAAAATCAACAATCTTTGCTAAAATTCTTGTTAAACAGTAAGTATGGCAAAGTGGCTTTTCGCAAAAATCTACTAAAAATACGTCTAATAGGGATGCAAATTTTGGGTAGTAACATCGATATATCGATGTTTCGATGCTTCGGAAAAATTAAGATCGATGCTAAAATACATCGCCAGAAAAACATCGATATTTCGATACTTTCGGATGTTTCACAATTTCTTAGGTTGTAGTCACATTAAAGGGAAAATTTAATACTTTTCAATTCAAACTCTCTGAAATTCACTTAGAATAAT